CATTGGGTGCCGGTTAGGCCTACTTGGACTTGTTTTGTTGCGAAATTGTTTGTGGCGCCTATCTGATTTTGAAAGGGCCAAGTGCTGGCATCAAAGGTTTTGTAGGAGTCCACCTTAGACCCTGTGCGATTTCTGCGCGTCATGGGGAGCCACTCAAGTGGAAACTTAATGCAACTTCAAAGACACTGTCTTTTTGCGCTCGTAAGTTTTGGTGTTCTGCTTTCTGCCGCTTGAGTGTTTGATCGCTTCAGATCACAATACAGTGCAGGATAGCGCGGGAATGGTGGATGTGAAGCGATGGTGAAAAGACCCATGTGCATGCGTTGGCGCTTTCGCGTGTAGACAGCTTTGGGATCCTGTTCATATCTGACCGCCCGCAGGTGATCACTCCCTGGCAGACCATCTTCTTTGTTCACTTGGTCGTGGCGTCACTTGGAAGCACTCCCTGGCATCCTGAACTTGAGGGGTTTATTGAAAGCAACCCATCTTTGTAAGCAAATAACTGTACCTCGCACTCCCACGCCGCGCCCATCCACGGCTAGTGTTGCCAGGCGACATCATGCTTGGAGCTTCAGCAAAGTGCCGCTGCCTCGGTGAGGGAAGCCAAGGCCAGGGCTGGCTCCGGGCATAAAGAAATCTTTCACCCCTTCAATTGATTTTGGTCTAAGGCCAAGAAGACTTTTCACTAATTTTATCCTGGTCAGGCCCATGGGGGCTCGATGTCGGAGCTCACCCAAAAGCTAGCACGGCTTGGTGGGGGAGGACGCCATCCAGGGAATCTTGAGCGGGACCTTTATCGGACGTTGAGGCTTCCGGTCCCTCCATTCTATATAGAAGTGCCAGCACGGTGCCAAAAGAACCGTCGGGATATCATTTTGAAACGAGTTCCCCTATTGCTCCCACACGAAGTGTACCATTATCTGTTCGAATCTTGTAATGCTATAGTCATCTTTTTTTGAACTTGTTTGCAGTACTACAGTAGGCACATGTCAACTAACTCCTGTGGACACGTCCCACTTGCTCCGCCAATAAGGAAAGTGGGAAACTACAAGTGGACACTGCAAGGTTGGCGGAGTTTTGGAGGGAAACCACACGGCGCGGTTGGCTGGACCCAGAACACCCTGGAAGGTGGGGGGCCAATGTCATAGGACTCTATGGCGACGACGCCAAGTACACCAAGTCCGGAGAGAAATTCATCAACATTTGTTGGAATGCCATACTTCAGGAGCCAGGTCGAGTCTTGACAGGGCATATTTAAAGCGGTATGCACTACGTACAGGCGTTTCAGCTTTCTTGTTTTGAGCCGGTATTCAAAAACAGCGTCTAGGAGTTGTCATACTAGTGTTCGTTTGAATATTTTATACATGTATAT